TTTTCCTTTTCTCGTGATAATAACACGGACTCGACAAGGTACAAAATTCTGGTTACAATTTGGTTACACGCGCTGCGCGAGCTCCTCCACAGATATATCACAGATCTACAGTACGGTACCTGGTACGGTACAGTTGAATAGCTTTCATCTCGAACTTTTTCGATCGGATCGGTGAACACTCACAAACACTTCATTCCCTTGACTGAACAGACTGTGAAAAACATCACGAGAACAACGAGTATTCGTACGAGTTAATTGTACTGGTACATACCCGTATCCTACACCAATCCATACGGTACACATGGTTTTGGATGTGAGGCTAAAGCCGATGAACACTAGGACCGCGATGATACGACGACAAGTGGTACTATAGCACCAATCATCTTGCAGCAACGACTGCCAACGAGGCGACAAGAATCGAGATCCGACAACAATGAGGCAACATGGAACGCCTTCTTCCAGTTATGCGTTTCGGCTCATCATCGATGGCTGCAACGGCCCGATTCGGTTTCGGGAACACCAGCTGAGGCGAGTAGCGGCGCCGGGAGCGGAAGGAAACAGACACCATCCAAAACCGGAGGAAAAACAGGAGGAAGAGCAAGAAACCTATGACGAAGACGCGGACGGGAACCCATCCGGAGCTTCCCCGGAAGGGGCCGAACACACAGGCAGCGAGGAAGACGGTGAGATTCTTTCGTTTCTGTGCCCCGAGTCCATCGCTGAGGGATGGAAGTTTCTGCAACGCGAGCGAAAGTCGCAAACGGATAAGAAGAAGAACCGATCACACCGCGGAAAGAAACGGGCTAAGGGCAAACCCAAGGGGCACCGAAACACAGTAAAAACGAACTTAGGATGCGTCGAAGGGGACAACAAAAACAACGATTGCTGGCATCAGATGGAATCTTCGAATCGAATGGACATGGTGCCCCTCCTGCACAAATTGTTGGATTCTTCGTCGGGTRGAGACTGCGACAGAAGTTGTTGCTTCGAATCCGCAACAGTGATCTTCGACGGGGTCTCTATCACGAAACGGCCATCGGTCCCCGGAGCCAAACATGGCACAGGAGAAGACGACAACGACAATGACCAGAGCGAAATCCGAGAAGAACGAGTTTGGAACGTATATAGCAATACCTCTGCCTCCCCGAGAATTAAGGGGAATGGAACCAACGGAATCGACAAAAGCCCGCTCACGGTAGAGGTCACGGGGCTCTTCGACGAAGCGGACAACGTCATCGTTGATCGAATCCAGGAATGCGCAGCCGTCCGAGCCCAACGGAGATGTGAAGAAKCAGGCGAATCCTCCCCAAATAGGATTCGAAATGTTGGGGCTTGCAACTCACGCATCCACATAATCCGTCGGACGGACCGTGGAGCGGGTAAGAACAGAACGGCTTTCCGCCACCTTGGGCTACTACGGCCGGACAGCGTAGCCTGTGTCTTCGACCTGCTGTGCGCTGTTGATAGCACCGGCAACAACGGCACCGTGGCATCGGAGWCAAAAGAAAAGAACTACTCAAGCCTGTCTCAGTTTCACTCCCTCGCCCTAGACGGCGATCGGACGCTCCGATCGCTCCGGCAGAACAATCCTGGAAACGTCTTTCTATGCATTGACGAGCCCCAGGAGGTCGAACACGAGGACGTATTTGCTGAGGGTAGCAGCGAACGCATCGGGGAAATCGTCCTGCCGATTGTGGCCACGGACGACATCTTTTTGCGGCAACGGATCGTAAAGGAGGGAGGATACGTCATGACCTTTCACCAGCTGTGGCTGTTGCTCCTGGATGCATGACGGTAGCAACAGCTTCAACCGTGAACAAAACGCAAGGCCTAGGCAGACGAAAACACAGTGCTTTTCCCCGGGGCAATTGATTCCGGAGAGCACTTCAATATAAAAATGAAACTGGTACTCGTACTGTTTAGTCGACAAACGTGACGTTTGTGGACTGAAGAGAACCATTTTTATTTTCAACAAAAATCAAACGAAGAAACATAAAATTAGATACTACTATTAGAACAGACAAGCAAGGTCGATCGGGCGATTTGCACCATCCATGTTCTGTCGCTATTCTTCCTCCTCTTCATCGTCGTCTCCGTCCAAGCCCAAAATCGCTCCGAATTTGTCAAAGAAGGTACCGGCGGGGATCGCATACAGAGCGATCCCAACGTAGCAATACAATATGCACAGGATCCGGCCCGGCCAGGTGAAGTCGGTAACCCCCCACTCGCCACCCAAAAAGACGGCCGTCATGTACAGCGTGTTGGGCATGTTCACAAAAACTTTTTGGACGCACATTCCCTCGCCGTAATAGTCGTTGCAGGCCGCCGTGGACGGAAAGTCAAAGCAACCGGGAACAAACGACGAGCCGTTCCCCGTCGAGAGGTCGGGGATAGAATCGTCGCATTCTCGAAAGTTCGGGTTGTTGCGTTCGAAAATGAAAAACAACGAACCGCCACCGATCCAGATAATCAATGCCAGCAAAAAGCAGCTCTTGAGGACGTCCATGCTGGCCCGGAAAACGTTGTCCAGCTTGCTAAARGCKGTGACGAAATCCTCCAGCTGGAGCAACCGCACGATTCGAAAGATTCGAAATACCTTGCCGACCTCTCCGCCCTCGGTGATGGTTCCGGTAGCCAGCAGAATTTGCTCGATGTACCACGGTGCCGTGGACAAGAGATCGACGATGCCGAAAAAAGTCTGGGCATACACCCGGCTGGAATAGAGGGATTCGCGGTTTTTGGAAGCGCAAAAGAGCCGCGCGATGTATTCCAGGGTGAAGACGGCGATCGAAAAGCGCTCAAAGACATCGAAAAAGTTTCCGGGTTCGTTCCCCACCGCGCGGTCGATCGAGGGAACGCTCTCCAACATTACGGCAACAACGTTTGCGACAATGACCGTAAAGATAAAGATCCTTCCGGCCATTCCAATGCGGGTGTGCTTCGTCTTGCCCCTTCGATCCTTGGTTCCGTTGAGGAAGTTGTTGACGGCGTTTTGGTACCCGTCGACGGTCGGGCCCCAGGACGAGCTGGGTGGCGAGACCCCCTCGAGTGCTCGGTACYGCTCTTCGTACCAATCGTCTCCTTCCACGGCACCGGGATCGGCCGAGGCAGAAGGAACGTCTTTGGCAGAGCCTTTCTTCTTGGCCTTGTGCTTGCTCTGTACGATTTCCACAAAGCCGTTCGCAATCAATCCCGAAGGGATCGAAACCACACCCACGGCGGCGACTACCATGCAAAAATTCACGAGTTTTGCCGGCCAGCTGTAGGTTGTGATGGGATAATCGCCCGTGAGATGGATCCCGGTGTAGTAAAAACTGTCAAAGTAGTTTTGGAACCGGTCCATCATGGTGCAATCGTCGGTGCAGGTTCCGTATAGAGGGACTGGGTCGATCTCGTTGCTCGAATCGGTGTACTCAAACAAGTAGATGAGGCCGGAGAAAATAGTCCAGAGGCTAATGGCGGCGTACCCGGCGACCTTGAGCGAGTCCCACTTGTACCGRATGACGTTGTCGATGAGGGTGAAGCTCGGGACATACTTGTCGAGTTTCAGGAGRCGAAGAATCCGGGCCATTCTCAGGTATTCGTCGTATTGATCGATGAGGGATTCCGGTAGCGCCAGGGCAACGTAATAGGGCAGGATTGCCAGCAAATCAATGACCGAATAAAAGCTGACSACGTACGCCAAGCGAGAGACGACCCCGCTGGCCCGTCCGCTTCTCGCAAAGGCGGGATCGGCGCCCACACCGATGAGCCGGACGACGTACTCCAGGGTAAAGGCGTAGACCGTGAGGGATTCGATCGTCGAAAAATCGTCCTCGTGGCCGTCGACGGTCTGCCAGGCGCCGATCGCGATGGCAACGAAAATAAGGACGTAGATGAGGGTTTCGATGCTCCTGGCAGCGCCCGATCCCTGCCCGTTCGCGATGTTGTAGCACCAGCGCTCCGCATCGGTCCCCGGTAGACCGTTCGGGTTCGATGCCTCCACCGCAGAGCCGGTGGCCGCCGCCTGGTTCTCTGGCGCTGCCTCTATTTCCACGGCACAGTCCTCGGTTTCCTCCTCGACGACTTCCTCAAAGCCCCCACCCAGGACACCGATGGGGATGCCAAAAATGGCAGTGGCAAAGAGGCCCAGWATGCCGGTAGCGATCTTTCCCACCACCGAGTACTGGGCCAGCGGGGCCTCCCCGGAGAGGTTCAGCAGGGTCATCCACATGGCGTTCGGGACCGAGTTGTAGTTGGCCGCCATTTCCGGGTCCGGGTTGTCCCGCTCGGTCGCGTACAGCAGGGCGCCAAAGAAGACCCACAGCAGGACCGACGAGAAAAAGGTGACGCTGAGGACGTCGTAGTTGCGTGAAAACACGTCGTCAAAGCTGGTAAAGGCGTGGGTGTACTTTTCGAACCGAAAAATACGCAAGAGGCGGAGGGCCTTGACAAAGGTGTCGCCCATCCCGGAGGGACCGGASGTATCGACGACGGACCCACCGAATCCAAAGAGGACGATCCAGTAGGGCAGAAAACCCAGGAGATCCACCATTGGCAGGAAASACGTCGCGTAGCTCCACTTTGGGCGCGGGGAGACACTGCCTCCGCCGCCGCCGCCGCTGTTGTACATGGGATCCACCGCGACGGTGGCGTAAAACTTCAGCACGTACTCCACCGTAAAGACCAGGACCGCGGCAAACTCGAACCAGCTCTGGAACAACCGGTACCCCACCGGAAGGTCGTCGATGGTGTCGATCATAAAGGTCAGGGCCGTGCCGACGACCAGCGCGTTGATGAGGTGCTCAAAGAAGAGGGATCCCTCTCCGGTGCCGGCCACGAAAAAGTTGTACAGCCCCGGAGCGCAGCCGGTCCCGGCCGCGACGTGCCCGGCGGTCGCCRCCCCCCGCTCGACGATGGGGCCCTCCCCCCCGGTCGAGGTCCGGCGCTTCTCGATCTCCGATTCGAAGCCGTTGCCGATGATCCCGACGGGCAGGGCAAAGAAGGTCACCGCCACCACCGCCGTRATGGTTCCCACCACCTGTCCGCCCACCGAGTGCTGGTCAAAGAGGGGGAACTCCCCAAAGAGGTTCAAGAGCGAGTAGTAGCTCGCCGAGGGGATGGACCGGTAGAGGTTGTAGCAGGGCTCCGGGAGTTCCTCCGTCCCGGGGCAGCCGGCGCTCGAGCAATCGACGATGCCCCAGTCGTCCATCGTGCAGAGGGAGGTGTCCACGTCGTCGTCGTCGCAGGAGCCGCAGTAGATCATGTCCGGGTTCTCCCGCTCCACCAGGTAGTAGAGGCTGGCGACGGAGATCCAGGTGGTGGCCCCGACAAATGCGGCCGTTCCCAGGACGGCCTTCTGGGCCCGGTAGACCTCGCCGCAGAGGCTCAGGGCGGAGTCGTATTGGTTCCCCTCCCCCCGCATCATGCGGAAGAGGCGGAACATCCTGAGAAAGCCGGTCGCCCCAAAGGCGTTCTCGGAGGGAAAGACAAARGCGTCGAGGTAGAAGGGAATCGTCGARGCCAGGTCGACCCACGAAAAAAAGTCGGTCAGGACAAAGGCGATCGGATTGGAGTATCCCTCCTGTCGAAAGGTCAGGACGCGGAGGAGGTACTCCACCGTGAAGACCGCAACGGTGAACACCTCCAGGACCGAGGTGGCCCCGATGCCGAGCCACTCYGCGAAGGGGTTGTCGGCGTGGTTTCCGAACCAGAGGGCGTCGCAGGTGTTTCCGCAGAGGCTCTCCTCGGTCCCGCGAAGGACCCACGGATACCCCAGGGTCTCGTTGTAGGGTTCCGCGAACAGGCTGCCCAGGACAAAGGCCAGGACGTTGGTCAGGATGAGGCCGATCATGAAGCGCTCGTAGAGGGCCCCGGCCGGGGTCCTGGCCTCGAGRAACTCCCAGACGGGCTCCTTGCTTTGCTCGACCAGGGCCGCGACCTCCCTTGCCCGCTGCGCCCTTGCCGAAACCTCCGTTCCGAACTCCRAGAGCCGCTCCCCGGCCCGCTCGGTCCGGGCCGCTACYTCCCTGGCGRCCTCCGTTGCGCGGTCGGCAAGGGYCATGGCCCTCGCCCGGATCTCCGMRGTGATCCGATCGGAGATCGACGGGCCGGAGGGGCCTTCTTGTTCTGCTGCTGGCGCATCTCCCAGGAGGGGGGTGGCCTCGCCGAGCACAAGATCGTTTCCGGTGGCCATGGCGATGCGGGGTTCGGCGGCAACTGCGGGGTTGGAAGGTTGTCATTGGGAGAGTGAGTGGGTGATGTTAGAGGGACAGCGAGTGAGTGAGTGAGTGAGTGTTAGCAAGAACGCAAGAGATCAATAGAAATCGCACAAGTTTCAAAAACGAGATTCCCCAGCCTCTTGAACCTACCTCGATTGGTACGGTAGAGTGTATGGAACTGTTGCTCTTTTGTTTGAGAAATGCAAGGAGGATCTTGCTTCTAACGACTACCAATAATAGTACCGTTTCGTTACAGATGCGGTAGTAGAGGTGTTCTTTGATCAAGAATCAAGAAATGCGGATCACGACAGGGAGACGACGATTGATTGGGTTCGGTACTACCTGGTATGCCGCAAAATACTTCGGTAGTACGGTACCGCAGCGTAGGGCATCTCAACACCGTGATTTTCGAAACGAGGAAAAAATCTTTTTTGTTTTTTGGGATGATCGATTGCGATCGGGTCTTCGGTTGACGGGCCGGCAGGCAGCCTCTCCGGGGAATCTTGACATCTATCTCCGAGAAGAACATCAAGAGCAAGCACGATGTCGACACCGATTTTAGTCGTGCACGACACGAAATGCCTGCCGTTTTGGGTTTGGCTTATATTCAAAGACGACTCAATCGACTTGAACTACAACTTCTTACTGTACTTTACAACGGTACGTACGTACCGAACGGTAGGTAAGTCCTACCAGAAAGACTCCTTCGAGAGCCGGTTGTACGCAGTACGACGTACCGTACGGCTGTGTGATCTGTTCCGATGGACTTTTCSAGACAACAAAACAAAAACTCCATGCTACAACCTTCTAACACAAACAACTTTTCAATGCGGAACAGTGCTCGCACGCACTGCGACCACGCACCCAATTCGTTCTGCTCCCAATCGAATTCGATTCGATTCGACTCGACTCGACTCTGGCCGGATCTTCACCTCGGATGCCCAGCGACCGGGACCCGCCCTCCCGGGACAAGTGAGCGACATCCATCGCATCCAGAACGGCAACCGCAAGAAAAACATGGCGGCCGGGGCAAGCAGCGGATTGGGTCGTCGCCGTTTCGCCCCGAACGAAACCAAAAAGAAACCACCCGMMGATAGCTCCTGCCCAAGCGAGAAAGACCTTGCCGGACGGCATCGCTACATCGGTATCCTGGGACGGCGGAGGGGGCGTCGGTGGACCGGGCCGTTGCCGGTCGCAACAGTGATTGCTTTGTGCTTGTTGCTCGTCGGGTTCTGCCTGCACACCATTGACATTCCCGAGTGCAACGACCTGCTGTGYCAGCACTACAAAGGAAAACAGAAGGGAGARGGMTCGCACCCGGATCCGCCTGCGCCATCGCATCCCAAATTGCGGGTGGAAACGCACGCGATGTCGTCGAACACGGCAGACACGCCGAACGCACCGAGATCCTCGGCAGTGGGAGCTGCCGCGCAACCACGCGACGGCCAAAGCCGAGAAGAACCACCACCACCACCAGCAGCACCAGCAGCGTCGCCCCGCTTCTGCCGCCCCGCCTATTTCTGGGCCAGCGGCAAGGCGGGATCCACGTCGCTGTACTCGGTGCTGACCTACGGGCTGCGCGAGCCCCACACGACGTACGCCTCGCCCTTTGCCCCCCACGGCGCCGGGAAGGAACCCTGCCGGGGGGAGCCGAGCGACGAGTGGGACCGGTGGGAGGCCCTGGCCCGCAGCGAGGGGGTCTGCGGGAGCGGGGCCGCCCACCGGCCCACGCACATCCTCAACGGGTGCCCACGGAGGACCCTTCCCGGGGACGCCGGGGACATACTCCGGCTGCACGCAAGCCTCGCCGCGAATCGCACCGGCGATGCCCTTCCCCCGGCCTTTTTGATGCTGGTCCGGGATCCCGTGGACCGGCTGGTCTCGCACCTCAACGACCTCCGGCGCCGCGGCGAGAACGGGAAAGCCCTCCCGCGGCTCAGCGTCGAAAAGTCGGTCCTCAATCTGATCGACCTGCACGCTTCCGAGGGCAGCCGCGTCCTCGAAACCGAGGGCCTCGTGACGAGGCTCTCCCTYCAGGGGCTGGCCCTAGAGAACCTGCTGTCCGCAACGGGGGACCCGGRCTCCGTCCTGGTGATACCGATAGAGTCCATGGAGCGGGACCTCCAGGGCGTCGTCGATGCGGTCTCGGACCACGTGGGAGCGGCCCGKTGGAGCCTCGGTGGGGTGGACCCTCCACACGCCGGCAGCCGTGCCGCGCAGAGGGCCGTGCGCATGAACAACGGGAGCACCGAGACCGGCCGGCTGGCATACTCCACCCTKTCGGAGAAGGCCACCGAGGGACTCCGGAAGGTCTTTCGGGACGACGTCCTCTTGCTGGAGCGGCTGGTCGGGAAGCCCTTCCCGTGGTCCTCCTGGGCCCACCCCGGCGAACCCCAYCGGACCGGAGCAGGCGGCAGCGACTGGCTCGCCACCGCCCCGCGGGGGTGGTCGCCTCCAGAGGATTCCGGAAGAGCGTGACCGCGGCGGCCCGGTGCGTGGGTCCACGGAGTGCAATGCGGCGGGCCCTGCGCCACCCAACGGGAGGCGGTCGCACCGCGGGACGGCGGTGCCCGCGATCCGGACGGAGCCGGGGTCGTTTTGCAGGAACCCAAACCAAACCAAACCAAACCAAACCGCCCGTGCCATCCCGCCCCGGTGCGACAACGGCACCGTCTTTTGCGAACCTGGCGAGACGATCCGGCATCGTTGGTAGCGGTCGAACGGTTCGACTCTGGGTTGYGGTGCAGGTGACACACCATGGCCATCCGCAACAACGCGTTTTTGTTTTCTACGTTTATGGATAGATCGTTCGAACAATAAAATACAATTGAAAGTCGCAAGCGTCATTTGCAATTGTCATCATCAATTATTTAAATAATCTTAGGATATCTACTTCCTCAAACGATTGGGTTCGAAAAAGAGTTTTCACTGGACCTTCACGTCACCGGCAGGAACAAAAAGAATCTTTTGAACCGTAGTACAATTTCAAAAACACACAAACACACAAACAACCATCACATGCTACGATTTTTCAATGAATTCMTGTTTTCTTGCCCCACCAGCTGTTCTTTCGAAAGGTCTGGAAATCGTGCTCGTCCAGCTTTCCGTACAGCTCGTCGAGTGTATTCTGCAGCAGGTCGAAATCACCGGATTTTTTGCTGTTGAGTTCTCCATACATCAGTCGGTCCTGTAGCTCGAACAGCGTGTGGGATCGATTGAGCGTCCATGGCCGTAGGTACGAAAAATGGAAAATCACGTTCCTTCGGCAGGCATGGACCGTGGAGGACAAACACGATTTTTCTTTCCCCCAGTAATGAACCATGGGCTTCCACCTGAACCTGCACATWATTTTCTTGGGCAGCCTCGGGAGGGTGACACCGATTCCGACGTGTCTCCACAACGGTCCCCGTTTGCCAATCCTGAAATTCGCGGGAAGCCGAGGAATCACGTCGCTGTCGTTTCGGCACTGGACCAGTTGGAGTTTCTTGGATTTTTCCTGGTGTCGAATAGCGTCCGCCCAGGAATGTCCTCCTATGTACGGGCTAGCAAAGGCAATCGCTTTTACCGGTCCGTTCTTCGTAAATCGTTCCTCGGTGGAGGCAAAAAAGCTGAAAAAGTGAGTAAGGGCACCCCCGAGCGAGTGGCCCGTCACAAACAACTTGTAGTCAGGTCCGATGTGGTGCAATCCATACTTGTGGCACATGTTAGCAATTTCGTCGTACTTCGTTGTGCCCGTGTCCTTCCTTTTTCGAAACAAATACGTGTASAGCCCGGAAAAAACCCGTAGGACGTCTTTCTTGCCGTCAAATTCTTCCTTCACTGGATTTCGAATGTTGTGGAACTTGAAGTTGACGGCGGATTTCCAATCCTCGGGGGTGATCGCACCGCGAAAGACCACCATCACCCTTCGTTGCAGCGCGTCGACCGTAATGGAATAGGTCAACTCCTTGAGTGGGTACCAGTCGTTCATCCAAACGACACGCGAATGGGATTCCACCAGCAGACGAGAAACTGTACCATCCTTGAAGAACTTSGACAAGAATTGCAAGCTCTCGTCGTCGCGTGTTTCTACGGCATGTCTCAAAACTCCTACCAATTCTTTTCGAGTGTAAGTCACCCCAAGACTTGTTCGGACATCCTCATTTGTTTGCCCTTGGTCGAAAAAGGCATTGGTTAATTCTTCGAATTCCTTTCCGGTGTTTCCTTCGCGATTTGTTGGCAGAAGATTTTCGACTTGATCGTTGAAATCTGTCTTTAACTTATCGACAAAGTGCTGTGATTTCTGTCTGGATATTGCCATGGTATCGCGAAGCGACATATGGTGGTGTGGCGAATCACCAGGTCCATGGCCAATAGTTTGCCTTCTCCTTCTCGGGGAGAAAAATTGTTGCATTGAAGAACGGCTATCTTCGCGGTGTTCTTCGTTYTCGTGATTGAGTCGAAAGGTAACGGCACCACTCCGATTTGTAGGTCTTCCCGACTGGTCGGATATTGCACTACGCAAGCTAGACGGTTGTTTTGTCGAGTCGTCAAAATGTTCGTCGTTTTCGCCAACAAGCGTATCGGACAGCTCCGAATATTTTGCCGAGTATTCACCATCTTTATCCTCCTCATGTTCGGCTATGGGACTGATTGGAACTACCGAATCTTTCATCGAGTAGCTAATAGTGGAATTCGAATCTYTGTTGTTGATGGTGCTACAAGAATCCTCTTTCGAGATAGCAACTCTGTTATCATTGCCCTTTTCGTAGGAAGAAGAAACACTGTCTTTGCTACCCACTTGCCTGACCTCAAAGCCTAAATCACTATCTGTTTCTTCTTGAAGTGATCCTAGCGGATTACTGCTCTGCCTAGGCAAAGGAGACGATGATCCTCGTGTTCCTCGCCTTGGCCTCGGAATAGTAGAGAATGCACCGGAAATTGAGCTTGAAAAAGAACCAGACGAAGCTCCATCACCAGAACTAGCAGAGCCAGATTGCATGGATCGACGTGGAAATCGAATTTTTCGACCGGTGTTCTGTAAAAATTGCGGCAATCCACCCTCGCCTCTGTTACTGTCTAGGTTCATTGTCGTACGTCTCCTCCTCACATTGGGAATTTCTGTGACAAGATCTTCCGACACCATCCTCGAATAACATCTCATAAGGGATTCCATCGATTCTTCCGTGAGCTTCTTTTTGGTTTTGTTGTTTTCGTAGGCCACAAAATGCACGTCAGTATCGATGTCCACGCTTGTAGCATACAAGTTTCTTTTGCTATCACCCTGTTTTGGTTTCATCCGTTTCCTCTCCTCGGCCGTCATGACATATGTGTCTCTGATTTCCAGAATTAAGAGCGCCATGATCACAACGGGAGACAAACCGGGGCGTTTTCCAATCCCGTTGCCTTCGCACAAACCAGCAATCTGGTCCGATGTCCATCGTTCGCAAACATCGCTATCGATGGCAAGATTTTCGTACTTGGTCATAATTTGTCCGGTTCCCGATAAATGCCGGAGATCTGCTAGAAGAAAACTGAGATAACTCTGCGCCAGGACCTCACGAATCTCATCCAGCAACGGTTTTTCGGTTTCGGGGCGGTTGATCGACCGACCGTGCCCACTTCCATCAGCGCGACTGCGTGGAGAGATAATTGGCGAAAGTGGGCTGGGTTCGCTTAGCCTTCTAGTATTAGTCGTTTTTGGTGTTTGTAGGAAAGATTCTGATTGTTGCTTCGGTTGCTGCTGCGGCAGCTCTTCCTGCTGCTGATCCGCCATAATTGTTTCTTGTTGCTCCTTCTGTTGCCGCTGATCTGCTACCGGTGTTTCACTAGTCTTGCTTTGTACGCAACTTCCACCCGTTTCGTCGTTGCTTGTGTCACTGTTATCACAACTCTGGTTTTCGGTCTCTTCGACGAGCCCTGCAAAATTCACCGCGTTGGTATTGCGACGCTCGCTGTTGTCGTCCGAGTTGGCGGTATGTCAAGTGATGCGCGTCGGTGGAAAGATGTCGACGTCAGATKATTCGTGGAAAGGAATGGCGATGTCCGCCGCAAGTTGTCGAACAGAAGATATTGTTTGAGACAAAGGCTGAACAAATGACTCWTTATTGGGTGTGATCGAGTTGTATAGTGATCACCCACCAGAAAAAGAGTGTACGAGTACTTACGTGTTCCCCTTCCCCTTCTTTCTGTAGTTCATGAATCTAAGGGYAGAGGGCAAGGGAAAACGTAATCAGGATGTCAGTTCGTATTACGGTATCCGTTGTCTACTGCCTTTGATACTTCAGCAAAGTAAATACTTGCATCAATATGTTGAAAAGCGCAAAGGTTTCCCTGAAAGTTAAATCAAATTGATTCAGTATGTACCTTTTTTCGACGCAAGCGCTCCCATGTGCTAATTGTTCACTTTACGTTTCTTCCTTAGAACGCAACGGTAGTACGGTACCAGATCGTACAAAGCCATTGATGTCTCTCGTTCTTGTGCCAATTTTTGAGGCTTTAGATGCGTTTTTTAACGCTTGAAGCACTCCAATAGCATCAATACTCGTAGTAAAAAAGGCATGAAAATTGGAAATTGGTGCATAACAATTGCAAAAATATTACTTATCGAGACCCGGACCACAAGTACCAGAAGATTGAGTCCTCAATTACGGTAATAGTATAAAAATCTACTACTAGTAATTGCTTCCTCTCTATTACAGGAAGWTTTTTTATTTTTTTGGCCGTAGGTCTCCAATCTACGGGTACGTACTGTACGATTACGTACGGTACGTACCTCCGGAATGGGTTCTTCTAATTTTGTTGGTAGTGACATCGACATGACGAATCTACCAATCATAATGAAAGAATCTCGAAGATGAAAAAGGATRCGTTGAACCAAAAAAATCATCACCCTCGCTAGACCTGATACTACTAAGAGACTAATACAATAGTACGGAATATTACTCATACGAATACTCGATCATGCTCGTTATGTACTGTAATATTCCCATACTCTTACTCGTACGTACTATCGGTAAAACCAATTGGCATACGGCGAGCCATCCGTATTCAGAACAATTATCCTGTGAAATCTTCGTATTTATCGTTACGTAGTAAAAGTATGGGGGATACATTTCCTGTCGTATGGTATTTTACGGTAGGCCACAAGTATGTCGGATCAAACACCCATTCGTGGTTCCTCGATCGACTCGTTTGACTTGAATCCCAGTCGTGAATACAATATCCCAAATCCCAAGGATTTGCGTAATGTACTCGACAAGTACACACCGTACGTRCGGCAATAGTATCTGACGACTGTCAGAGTGAATTCAGAAGAGATGACGTTCCAACAYTGCAACATCATCAAATTATCGTTTTTCGTTTTGCTACTGTACTACAKAGTCTACTATGMTAGTCGCTTCGMAGAGCTGCCGAATCCMGACCGCTGTCCGCAGAAATAGACTCTCTATTGCTCTGTCCAAATCACAACGTACGCTGGATGCTGGAGAAGATAAACAAGATCGTCTAGAATAATGGTTTCMAAAACAATTGCAAAGCATGCGGTTTCCGGGCGGCAAAGATACGGAAAGGATCGAAGCATATTCGCAGCAGCCCTCGTAGGAGCTGTAATTGTCGGTGCGGRAACGACAACCCACTGTGCTCTATCTTTTTCTCTCTCCCCGYTTTCATCGATGAGATATCGCAATCAATCTACGCACTCGTCAAGTGCAAACKTTATCAACKGTAGGAAGAGGATACGGAATAAATCATGGAAAATGGGAGGCTYGTTGCATGATACACAGCGTCAACATCTAAATATGGAAATGACAGGGATCGCCTTCGGTACCGACGAAACCGAAACAAGGCTTATCACCGAAGATTCTATTACCATGGCGGATGTGGTTTCTTTCGCAACGATGGAACTCCAGCAAAAGGAACAAGAATTGCTCGTCAGCGACTACTTCGGTGATCCGGAGCAGAAAAAGACGCACTTCAACCGTTTTGAAGACCACAACAATGCCCGGATTGCCGAGTCGGAAAAGGTTGGCCTTGACCGGCTCGTAATGGAGGGAAACGAAGTCACACAATTCATGAGAACAGCTGGCAGTAGCATCGACGAATCTGATATCATATCTTGGAACCATTTGAAAGCATTGCTCGATCGGGGCTTGTCCCCRGAACACGACGGAAGTGTTGCAGAAGCAGACAGCGACGAAATATACCGCCTKTACCGCCTTATGGAGGATTCCGGTGGATACCTTGTCGTTAGGGTAGAAAACGACGACGCAGCGATAGTTCGAGACCTATGGTCGACCATGGAAAAGTATTTTGCCCTGCCCGAAAGCGTCGAACAGACAGATCTTCAGGTGCTTRAAAAGAAGGACGGATCCCACGATCCGAAAGCAGGTTACATATTCTGCCAAACCTACATGAATGCCAACGGCCAAGTCCTGCCGGAAACCATCCAGAATGCTCTGGGTGGAACTCGCGAGTCCCACAACGGCATTGTGGGTTCCCTCACACTCTTTGCAAACATTTGCAAGACGGTGGGAACCATTGCGGCGGCGGGAGCCCTCGAGAAGGACTTGGCCCTAATGAGCAAGGTTGTCACTTCTATGCTCGACGAAAAGAGCGGACATCCCTTTGTCAATGTCGACCACCGATTGTCGCAATACCGAACTGGACCGGAGGATATCGAGCAACAAACGGCCAAGGAATCCCTCATTAGCCACACCGACTGGACCTTTACCACTTGCATCCCGCTCAGCGCCGTGCCGGGGCTGCAGCTGTGGRAGCCAYRTTCCAAGGAATGGGTGGTTCCAGAGGAACTCCTCGCAGAAGAACGTACGAACTACGTTGTGGTCATGTCTGGAAAGTGGATGGAGCTGCTGACGCACCAAAAACTTAAAAGCTGCGTCCACCGTGTGGTGACGAATCCCTCACAGGATTCGACGGCCCGGCTGAGCGCCCCCTTTTTTTGTCGAACCAAGAAGTATCTTTTCGACACTGTGCAGGATCGGTTCCACACTCGTCCCACATCGCTCTCACAGGAAGCGGCCATCGACGAGATGGGTCGGGGCTTCTTCGGGGACCTGGTCCGCTTCATCGAGGGGAGCCGCGATCCGGCGATCCCGGGCTGCGTCGTGGATATATGCATGGACAAGGGAGATAGCATTCCAGAGTGCCGATCTATAGAGGAAGTCTTGGGGTAGGATTGCACTGCAAGATGGGCTGCCGTATTGTAGTCGTGTCAACAATCGGAATGCAATACAAGGATGACGTCCTTACGCGTAGGGAAGCATTTCAGTGGAGGGAACTACAGCAAAACTACTCGAGTTTTATCCAATTGGAAGTCAGGATGCCGATGGAAAACYAACCTCGAATGTGTTTTGGAGTTTTGAATAGAACTGAACCATAGAAAATATCTTGCGGACGAATTGCGTGGCAACAACGCTAATAGTTGTAATAGATAAATTGAATATCACTGCGTTCGATTTTTCTGCRTTTTCRGGCGTCCCCCTTTACAATGWTGTCAMACACGTGCTTTTCAGAACAATAGAAAATCAGCACATATCAATTTAGTCTCCARTGACWCTTCATCGTATGAACKGTGTATGTACTGACGTCAAYTTCTGAAGAGAAACAAGTGTACACACTTCRTGTACTTCGSTCCAAAATCAATCTACATTTAAAAACACTCATTCGAATGACGATTAGTATAGTGAGTGGCAAAGGATTGTATCTGTCCAATCCAAAAGGCGCTGTTGTCAAGGCCGCTGCCAAMATTCTATAAGYGTCTTCTGCCTTTTTGGCCCCGGTTCGGCTTCCCYCTTYGTTGTCGTAGCTTCTTCCTCGTTCCGCGCCATGCTCTGTGGGTCCTCTCCCGTATGCTTCACGCATCGATTGTTGCCATTCGGTGCCTCTTCCTTSTCGCTCGTGCCATTGCTGCTGCCCTTGCCAGTGCAAAAAGTTTGGTTGTCAACATAATGGGCCCACTCCTCCATGGTCGTTTCCTGTAGTATTCTAATCAATRCGGGGTCGTGACACAATTGCTCATAGAGACTGTCCAGGTGGATCGCATCGTCTGTCGCAGCCGACAGCAGGGTTTCTCTTGACGGCAAGGAMAATTTACATTTTCCTGCTTCTCTCTTTTTGCTCCTCTTGCGTTGTATTTCTTTCAACTTTTCCTGCAGATCCTCTAAATTGTATCCGAAGTGATGGGGATTTTCCCGGTAGGGATATCCATAGCAATTGTTGAATGTTGTGGTGTGAAAATAAAAGCCGATCTCTTGTGGAAAATAGCGTAATCCTGCATGGAGCGCCGCTTCGAACCTCGGATCCTCCTCCAAGCCCAGTAAAACAATATGCTCGTTGTGAATRCATCGGTGCAGGACAGGATGTTCTGAGTGGAGAGAATGCTTCAGTGCCTCTGGATCCCATTTCACCAAATATTTWAAAATGGAAAAGTTCATCTCGAGCAAGTTCGGTTCGTTGCACATTAACGAATCCCTTAAGAGATCGAATTCTTGGATGTCTTCTTTACGGAATAGATTCATTTCTCGCAGTTGTTTGAGAACATTCAGATAACTTTTCTCGGTGTTGATAACTAAGTCGTAGTCTGCGGGCTCGAAGAAGTCATCCTCGTCGKRCTCATGGTCAATGTTTGGAGTGAGATCTGGATTGCGATTTGGAAGGCAGTTCACTCCACACCTCACCAAGTGGCGCAGTACAAAAAGTCGATCGGAAGACTGATTTGTCAAAAGTCCTCCCCGCAAGGTCTCGTCAAAGGTCTTGTGTTTGATTGCCAACTTTGCCAGCAGAGGKACAAAGGAAACTGGTAATGGTGAGTCMGATCTCTTCATCTGATGTGGGACAGGGAATCCGGAAATTGTATCTAGATATCCGCAAGCGGCCAGGATTGGTGTCTTCGGCATTTCATCAAGGTTGCTKGGCCTCCTTATCTTCAGAACACGCGGGAAGTAGTCAATGGCGGTCGTGAGTTGATCCTCCGTCCACATTTCGTTGCTATCCTCGTCCTGTACGTCCGTATCCRMGTATAAGTGATCGACCCTGCCTCCGTAGTTATGCATCATTTCGTCCTCCACATTGAAATCGAGGCACATTCGGAGTGATTCTTCCACTTGAAAGAGGAATGATTTTAGGGAATGCTTTATCTGGCGGCGGACAGGTGCCGGAAATTTAGACGAATTCTGGAGCAGAGAAGTAACCTTGCGCACATTTTGTAGGTGTGTTTCCCTGTCGATGGTTTCGTTGAACGCTTCATCGAACATTCCCATCTCGTCGTCATCATCCTCTTTATGGGCGAGCTCATCATTCCATCCCAGGTAGACTGCGCGGTAGTCCATGTCTTCGGTAAATACTGAGTCGTCTTCGTCGCTGCTCATAATTGTAGGTTCTTTTATCTTATTCTAAAGAGCAAAAGTGATGAAGTCGTTGAAGGCTCGACCTGCTAGTCGAAGTGAAATGGCCGAAATTCATCGTCTCGTCATTTTTCGGGATGGTGAACACGCTCTTTCCCGCGTAATTCGTCAAGGTTGCTATGGACGAACTATCGAATGATGACAACGGGTACGTATCTTTCGTAATTTCGTACTTCGTAATTCGTAATTGGCTCGCGAACGCAAATAGTTTCTACTACTGTACGATGCAAAAAATGTGTGCCTGTAAGGTTGAAGTTATGCTCTGAAAAGAATGTGTAGTAGAAGCTATTCAATGTGGCTGTTTGTTGTTTCTGAAATTGTTTCTGAAATAGGAATGGAAATCATTGATTTGCTGTGTATGATGGGTATTTTTTTTGTTGGTGTTGTTTTTTTTAACAGAAGAGGTGATCTTACAAACAGACCATTGCTGGAAGAAGTTTTAGTAACCAGCATTGTTCTTCTTCTTGTTGTTGTTGTTCTTGAAAGCATGATGAGAACATAATCATAAATCCAGTTCTTGCTTCTTGTTGTGTAAGACCAAGTTGAAACCAACACATTCCAAAGATCTTCCCTGTAATTTGTGAACAGTTCTTGCAATGACAATATTGATTTGGAATTAAGATAATTTTATTCCCTTGTGACTTGTTGAGTTTGATTGGTACTAATTCTTGATTCATATTCCTGCTGGTGCAGGCATCAAAATGTTACTAGTGTTGCTGCCATGTTTTGAGAAGATAAAGTGATCCCTTTTTTGGAGTCTCGTCCTTCTCAAAGGACTACCTCCATCTGTTCAACTTTTTCTTGGCATCTACATATTGAACATAAAATCCATCACCAATGTTGATAATTTCACAATTGTGGTACCCATTTTTCAGTTTGGCAGACTTGAATGTACACGTGGCTCCATTTTCTTTTGACTTTTCAACATATATGTTGTCTAACAACATACAATTTAAGTATTGGATATATTTTTTTTGGAAGATTTGTTTGTACCTGCAACAATGTCAGCATCTGATGTGGTAGCTAGCAAGCAGTATTTTTGAAATTCTGGCACGTCTCTGTATTTTCTTTCTTGTCTATCTGTAGTTTTAGGTTTGAGAAGGCCTTGATTACAATGGTGTGATCTGGTAATCTCTTGTTTTTATTTTTTGAATGTGTTGTTTTTTATTGCACATTTGTTGGCGTTGCTCTATGTTGCATAAGTAGACAAGGTTTATAATTCTACTAGAATTGATGATTTGAACATGCTCTACTTACAAGCTATTTATTCTTAAATCATCAAGAAGCTCTCCCCAGATTGGATCATCTTGAAACATGTGGTTTGTTTTAAGTTCAAGAAATGTGTTGATTTTTCTCTCCAAAGGTGGATTTTTTACAATACTACTAGTAGAGAGTCTCCTCCCATGGGTTTGAGTTGATTGAAGTCGCCTGCAAAGACAATTGGTAGATTGCCATACAAATTATATGATGGCTCCTTGTCACAAATTCAATTAATATAATTATTCAATGTTTCAATTTGTTTGATGCTAGCAAATGATATCTCATCAACATTAGGGAGTAATGCGAAGTTTTTCATAGCTTTTCCATGATCAGTCTCATGGGTGACAACATGAAAGGTTTTGTGTATTATTTGATACAAAACACTTCTTTGAAGCTCATTAGGTTTTGTATTTTGGTTGAGATTTTGTGTATTGTCTGTAGAAAAAAACCAAGTTACCTGAACCTGAGTCCTGAAGTGCAATTGCATTTGAATATGGTGGGACTTATGGTGTTTTCAGTAGTGCTCTTCCACACTTGTGGGAACCTTGATACTAGGTGACAACCAAATTGTTGATTTGCAGCTTCTTGAATATGTTTGTGAATTGAATCTGACCTGGATTATATATCACATCCATATTGTCAACAGAATTTGCTTGAAGTTCATCAAACAAACAAAGATTGCCACTTATTTGTTTGACAGCAGTTCCCTCCATTTACCAAAGGATTTTGTGTAACTTGTTCTATAGCATCTTTTGATCTCCCTGAGTTAAAACTGCTGTAGCAATTTTGGGCATTTTTCAGCAGTTTCTGATGATTCAATTTCAATTTTGCTCCCACTTTTTTAGATTTCCCTGAATTTTGATAAACTTTTCAAATCTGTCTGGAGTTCCTTTT